GCAAAATCTGCCGGACTAGCAGAGCACGTGTGAAAGCTAGCAGTCATGCTAACCAAACATAAAAGTAGTTTTAAGAAGAGACAGGAGAGAAAAGATTGGATGGATTTTTTTACTGAGGACAGTGTCAAAGATTTCGCTCAATGCAAAGCTCGTCGGATGCCATTCAAACAGGTGGTTTTTCATTCGGTGTGTTCATTCGCTGTTTTAAAGGCTGTTATCATTTCGAGGTCAGGTTGGCGCCGAGCACCTGTTGTATATCGTAGGTGTGCTTGTGTATTAAACCGTGTGTGTGCCTTAGCTGGCCTGTTCTCAGGACATGGGCCACTTTTCTTTCTTATTCTCCATTATGTCTTGCCTCTCTGTCGAAGAAGAATGTGGTTGTCATGATTGGGTTACTGTACTGAAACCCCCCGAAAAGGTCTGCGTCATTTCAGCACTGCCTCGTGATTTTGTCAATGACAGCACTGGCCATCCCCCTTTCTCTTTGACTTCTATACTTTGCAAATACAAAAGTCTCGGTGGCACAGTCCGACTCTAAAATCCATCCAATGATGGCAGCAGCAGACGCATGTGTGTCGGAGAGAGACGCACACAATGAAAACTGTTGAATTAATATGTTAATATGGAAAGAAATCAATTTAAGGAGCTTTAAAGTAAGTAGGTTAGGTATTTACTGCATCTAATCTTATCAGTTGTTAAACCTCGCACAACGAGGAAACAAGCCACACAAAATTGCCATTCTCTTCTATACACAAACACAGTGTGTGTGTGTGTGCTTCGTAACTGTGTAGCACAAGGGCCCATCATGACAATCTGCACTGGGGCCCACTGTTACAACCATACGCTACTAGTGGGAAGAAGGTTTTGTCCATTTCACAGAACTGCTACCTCATCTAGGGATGTGGTTGGCATGTGGAAAAAACCGGATGATATGTCTTCGGCGGAAATTTCGGGTGGAGCGTTGGTAGTTAAAAAGCTCTACATTGGCAGGATGTCATGTGTGGAAGAGATTTATCCTGAGAAGGTGGAGGTGCTGAATTTTGACGTTTTACAAAATCAGTTTACAAGCACTGCTTAAACTCAGATACTAAATGGTAGCATCTTAAATGTGTTGAAATGAGCCCCTAGACTCTTCAATGTAGCATGAAGTTTTGGTACAGTGTCTATGGACTAAGAACGACAGCCCTAGGCTTCCACTTAAAAAAAAAAATCAAACAGGAGGAGCAATCTGAACTCTGTCCTGGTTGTAGAACAGTGGGCCAGGTTTTGGATTCTGGGGTTGCTTGTTCAGTCTACATACGCTTTGTGGACTTTCAGAAGGCTCATTACGGTGTCCCTTTGGGTGTCAAAAACATTGGATGCCATAGATGTTGCTGCAAACCAATACTGAAAATCTTGATGTAGAAGCAAACCCTAAAGATAGGCCTGATAATGGATACACAGACAGAAGGCACCTCAATGACCACCAAATATATCTCTTTGTTACTTCAAATAGGACACATGGCATCGGATCTTCCAAGCAGTTCATATAACGTGGGAATTAGTGAGAGTTATAAGGTTATTATTGCTTTTCCATTTCAGTGAAAGCTCTTTTGGTTTACATCAGCAATCAAAGGCTGGTTCCAGATCTCTGAATCGCTGCCCACATCTCTGATGTTTTGATAGACTCAAATGGGGTTGTAGTTATTGACTGCCGTTTCCCCGGTTGTAAAAACAACGAAGCCAATCAGAGCTTAGTAGTTGGGATAAAGAAGAATATGGACCATCATCTTCCTGGGACAGAAAATGTGTGGATGAGATGGAAGCAGCCACACATTTAATAGAAAATGTAAACTGCTCCTTATGACCACTACCGCAGCTTTTGGGTCAACTGTGAAATGACAGATAGACTAAATAAATAACCCACCTAAACATAAATCAGGGATGCCAGGAAAAATGATTTAAGTATAGCGAAATGGCATTTTGTCTGATTCTACAGCTATCAGTGGCTTTTACAAAAGATAGTTTTACCAGAACTCGCCAACAAAACCAGTTTCTGTCAAACCATTTTATGCTCTTCCACTATTAGAGACATTAAAGGTTAAGTACACTCAGGAGAGGTGCCCTTAATGCACAGGGCGGCTCTATGGATAAAAGCCTCCACTAAATGGTATGCATCCTTTAGATCTTTACACCCATAGAAATATTGATATGTGAAACACAGAGAGCAAAGCTGAATAGCACATGACAAACAACAACAAACAAAGGAAGCATTAGCCGACATTGATTCTGTCAGCACAGTAATGTCCTGACATCCCCTACACACTACCTTACGTACACACACACACACACACACACACACACACACAGAGCAGAGGCTCTCCTGTCCGTCAGAAAGGCTAGCTAAATGCTATGTAAACATCTGTGAGGATTAGAGGCTTTATCCTCTAAAGAACTTAGCGACTCCAGACTGCAATTGGATCCTGGTGACGTGAGCTTTTATCTGAGACCTGAACTACTCTAAATTGAATTGAGGAAGAAGTTTGGACTGTTTACACAGAAGGGGTATACAGCAACATCAAACTGCAAAAGACGGATATTATATATAACTACTGCAAGAGAAACGTCCTTCCATTCAGTGCTGTTGAGATTTCTCAGAGAAAGGCACTCATCTCCAGGCTTTGTGTTAATTTCCGTCACTTGTACACATCACAGATTTTAAGATTGTAAGTCATTCAGAAATCATTGCTCTAAAGAGTTTATTATGAATCGAAAGAGCTAGATCATAAGATGAAGAAGTGTTTGTGAATAGCCACACTGGAAGGTGGGTTGAGAACCCCGCCATCAAAGACAGAGACGACCCCGATCAGTTGTTATGTAAAGCGTGCATGAATGTTGGATTTGAAAAGTTACATAAATCGTTTACTGCCAAGTATGCCATTGGAAATGATGCTGTTTGATCTGTCAGGCACTTCTTCTGAAGCATTCTGAGGCCTTAATCCAGGGCAATAAGAAAGCTAAATTTGAGGGTGCTTTCACACGTAGACATAGAAAAAGTACCACCAGAATGTGGTTTTCCAAGGTCAAACTGTGGTTTTGACATCATGGGAAGAAATCAATGGAAATGCAATGATTTATTGCCATTTTTACACCCCCCAAAAACTGACTTTAAAAAGCACTGTCCAGCGTGGATACCATTTAATATAAAATTGTTAAGAAGCTGAATGTCTTAAGTTTACATTACATTTATTGATTCAGCTGATGCTTTTATCCAAAGCGACTTACAATTGCTTTGGATGTCAGCGGTCGCACGGCTCTGGAGCAACTAGGGGTTAAGTGTCTTGCTCAGGGACACATTGGTGAATGTGTCGCACTGGGGAGTTGAAACTGGGTCCATTACACCTTAAAAACCTCTTGATCCTCCAAGTAATGGACCTTTTATCCACTGTAAACTAGTGTTGTAGTCAAGACCGCCCAAACTGAGACCAAGTCAAGACCAGAGTTTATCGAGGCAGAGACAAGACCAAGACTTTTAGGGGCCGAGTCCAAGTCGAGACCAAGCCTGAGGGAGGGCAAGACCAAGACCAGTTCCCCACATTACATGACACACAACAAAATGTGGAACGAGATCATGGGTCCTTCTCAAACTGATCTGAAAAATCCACATTCAAGTATTACAACACTACTGTAAATCATAGGGTTAATCTCGATCCAGGTAATGCTCCCACGGTGGCCCACCTTTCGGCCGAGTCCCACTGACTGAACACAACTGCTGCAGGCTGACCCAAAGCCACTGTTTCTACTTATAAACTTTATTACCATTCTCTGTACCAAACAGCTGCCTGGAGCCTGAGCTGAGGAAACCTGACATCGCTGGACAGCTACAAGTGTGCATCAGTGTGTGTGTGTGTGTGTGCGGGCAGGTGCGATCAACACGGTGATTTTGGCCGTGAGCCTTTCACACCTCAGGTGAACCAATTACCATATTGCTTCAACCTATCACTTCCTGTCAGATTGTCAGCACACCTGCAGGGTCAAACACTAGAGTTAGTCGCGGTGGTTTTAAGCTATCCGACCCGTTTCTGTCAGTTCTAATACTGAAACTCACCTTGCCTTTCTACTGAGAGACTAAACACACACACTTTTGTTTCTAGAAAAGCAAAGGAAGGAGTGTCTATTTTCCCTGGATCCTGAGGTTTTTAAATTTGACAAAAGGGTTTGAGGCAGTTTCAAATGTCTGAGGGTTGTTTCCCAAACAGTCTTGTTCTTTGTCACTTTTGCAAAATCTAACTGCCTCCTAAACTGGCCTGAAGGTTGTTTATTGCACAAACATTCTTGGTACTGGTGAGGAGACTCATACTCTTCTCTTCGAAGGTTTGTAAGACGTTCAGAGACAAGATTCATCAGAACGCCAAATCTTAAAAAAATAATCAACCTCGTGCAAAAATATGACAGGATATCAGTAATGTATCGAATGCAGCTATTAAAGGTTATAAAGTGAAGATGTTTCCGCATGAAACAGAATATTTGGGTGTAGCATTAAGTAAAAGGGGACTTAATTGGAAAATGAATGTAACTGATAACTATTTGTCCAGAGTTACATACGCATTATCTTTTTCCCACCAGATTTTCTTCTGATGGACAACAGTTTTGATGTCAAGTCCTACCCAAGCTGGAACCTCAAGGCCTGAAAACTGAAGCCATGTAAATTAAACCTGCACTGCAGGGCCCGACTCCTCTGGTTGCAAAATAAGGTCTGGTTCCATTAGAAATAATGGTAAAATTACCCTACTTCCCACCATAGATATTACCCCAGTATACACTTTCCTAATGAGTTTATGGTCTCAATCGCTAGTTTCAATACTTCAACACAGTACCATGTTCATTTAGTAAATAATGGTCCCTTTAAGAGAAAGATGGACGATAAGCTTGCAGGCGCCACTGTCTAGTCCAAATATGGTCATATCCAAACTGCCAAACTCCAGTGCAAAAGCATCCACTCATCCATCCCTCTGTCCTACCAGGTTTCCGATGCTCAGCATGCCATTGAACTCGTCGGTCATGGGGTAGTGCTCCATGGCCATGAAGAGCGTATTGAGGACGATACAGATGGTGATGGCCAGGTCCAGGAAGGGGTCCATCACCATGGTATTCACCAGCTGCTTCACCCTCAGCCAGAAGGGACTGCACTCCCACACCAGGTAACGGTGGGCGAAGACGTACCAGCACGGGTGGCACTTCTTATGGGCCTCCTCCAGCTCTGCATCACCCGGGACAAAACAAAACAGAAGGAGAGAAGATAAGAGAATTAAATAGCAGGTCATTAGGAGGATGGAGGGGAGGTGAAAATAATGAATCTATTAAGAGACAAAATTAAGAATAAAATTTGATACATTTGGTATTTTTAAAGAAGGGGCATGCGATATAAATAGGTAAATGAACCTGTTAATTGAACATTTTTCACATTAATATTTGTAATGCAAAGACTTTAAACGTCCCCTTAAGGAAGGCAATAGGTAACGGAGTCGGGGGCAAACCCTGGTGCTCGTTATCATGTAGGTAGTCCTGCAAAATCTAATGAAAATAAAGTAGAAATTAAACTAAAGTGAAATAAAAACAACTAAAACAATTCTTAAGTTTTTAGTCCAGAGAAATAGACCAAACCAAGATTGTTGTTTTTCAAGTAACCTGGTTATAAAATCCTGAGTCCAAGTCAGAAAGTTTATGCTCGTGAGTCCTAAAAAAGTCCGTCGAGCGAAATGAATGAATCTTAAAAACCATGTTCACCTGCGAACATGCGTCATTTCAGTGAAACAAGAAATTCTCCGAGCACAGCAAAAACAATCAGGTGCTGGTAGATAGCAGGATAAGATGAAAAATCAAAAAACAAACTACCGCACATGGATCTGACTTTATTACCTTTATTGTGATCTCACAATGGTAGTTTGTTTTTTGATTTTTCATACTTCATTTCAGTATCATACTGCCATCATTCACATTGTTAATCAAATAACCACTCTGTTCATAAATACATATTCAAATTAATTCATTGGTTATATGTAACTTCAATTGACAAAATATTTGTAGCAGGAGCTCCCATCCATTCATATTACCTGTTGGTCATTGGTCTGCCAAGCAGGAAGTGAACACTTTCAAAGGGCTTTATAGTAGAAGAACTCAGACTGTACCATGTTGTTGGGAATATAGAGGGGGTTTCATGGTTTCAGAAAATAGTCTTTTTAAGTAACCTGAACAACTCAGAGTGTTGCTATTTCTACGTTAGAACCTTATATATAATGATTAAAAACTGGTATTATTTATTATGCAATAACTTTGCTTTGTATGTAGGAGGAGCTTCCTTTTTAAACAAACAAACTCAAACCACCTCCTTCTCCTCAGGATCAAGCTCAGCACCATTGGTGATCGGGCTTTCTGTTCTGCCGCTCCTCGGATTTGGAATACCCTCCCTGATCATCCGAGGGTACTTTCAGACTACTGAGACTTTTAAAAATGGACTTAAAACATGTCTTTTTGGCGGGACGTATGATTTTTAATTAAACTTGCCTCTTTTTTTTATCTGTATTGTATATTGATGTTTTTACCTTTTATGATTTTACTCGTAAGCACTTTGAGATTTCTTTCAAATGAAAAGTGCATTACATATAAAATGTATTATTATTATTTCTTTTTAAGAGGAAGTTTTTCCCTTGTTGGAGGCGAGTTGGTTCAGTTCAGGTGCAGAACTGCTGGAAGCTATTAGCCCTTAGCATGATGAATGATTAATTCCCTTATGTTTTCCATGAAAAGGACAATTCTTACAGGGAGAATATAAAGTCCAAGAGGAGTTCTGAGTCATTGGTGTTAAAGTCTTTATTGAGATCCAAGACATTTTTTAGGATTTTGTCAAGTCATTATGTTTGCTGACTCGAATCCACACTTCTGGCAAGAACAATATATATTAAAGTGCAGTAAAATGTTAACTTGATAATAAAACGTGGAAAATAACTCTATACAGGACTTAAGTGGATTTACTGTCTTGTAGCCAAGAATACAGAGCCAATTTTTATGTTAAATAAAACTGTCAAATATACAGTAAATAATACCTAAAATAGAGAAAATAATACATCAAAAATAATATAACCAAATTAATGAAGAAAAGTGGAGGAAGGAGAGGATGAATGGTGTCCAGATGGATGGAGGGAGGACAGCAGTGTTTTGTTTTTTGTATTTTCCTGTATAATGATCTGTTCTCTAAGAGCAGCGACCGCCGAGGGGAGAGACAGTGACTCAGCAGACCTGCCACACACACACACACACACACTTACAACACACATGAATGCAGATTTGGACAGATACAAACCCAAAAATCCAATACATAAATATCATCAAACACACACACATGAACTTGGAATGATCTCACGGTTAATGAGTGTAACCAGGATAACACGCACACTCTCCCGCTCTCTCTCTCTCTTTCTTTCATTGTGTGTCTATGTCTCTCTCCCTTTCTGACTCTCATGTTCAAACAAAGCCAGCGTTCCCCTGGGGTTGGCTGGGGCAGCGACGCACACACACAAACTCCGACACAGTTACACAATCCTGTATCGACACACAATTATACAAGCGCGCACACACACACACACACACACACACACACAGACAGACAGACCGGAAACACACACACTCACAGAAGCGTTAACAGACTCACTCGGATGCAGAATTCAAATACATGGTTACACAACCACCCACAAAAGCGAAACACACACATACAAAAAAGTTGAGGTACGCACTGAGGTAAAAAGTCAGACAAGGTTACAGTCCCATATTGACACACCATTACCAACACACCAGTGTGACCAGGGGAACAGCAGTAGATGCAGAACCCCTCTTTCAGTAAATGTCCGCTGTATTAACTCACTAACCAAAGCCAATGTCATTTTGTTAGCAGGTTTTTCATTTCTGCAAATTCGTTTTGATGGAAATTAACTAAAGTTGACCGCCTTGTCACGCTGTGCCCTATGTACTTGGAACTCCTTGCAAAGGTGGCTTTTGAGAAGCTCAAATCCTTGAACACAGAGGTTTTTGAAGATGAATGTAAATGTTTTTTATGTCTGTACTGTCCGACTTCTTGTCCTGCTGCCTTTCTTGGCCAGGAAGCCCTTAAAAAATAGATTTTATCTAAACCGGTCTTTCCCCCCCTGTTAAATAAAGGATAAAAAAAAAAAAAAAACGAATGAAAAGAAATCACTTAAAAAAAAACAAAAAACACCAACATATAGGCAAATTTAGGATACCAGTATGACGAGCCAGCAGGCTCCTCAAATGGGCTGTTGTAATGTCTTTTGTTCACATTTTGGCATATTGGCAGCAGTAAAAGATGTCAAATTAGCTATTTGCAGTTCTTGTTTGAAGTGCACTCATGGATGAACAGACAACTGTCACTGGATTACTTTGACACGGTAGAAACTTAAAACCTATTGATTCTTTTTGAGTCTTTTTACATGATTCTGAAGCTGATTTATGGACCTTTATTCGCAGGAAGTAAACTGGAAGTCACGCTGTTTGAATTCATTATGTGTTTCATGTCTGTGTGTTGAAATTTGCCCAGAGTTATGACTCAGAGGAGGAGTGTGATTTTTGACTCCCCTTCAACTCTCCCACAAACCCTAAGGGAAGCTTTTGACTTTCTCTTCTGAATGTCTATGTCTATTATAGATCATATCCTGTAATATCCCGAAGGTTAAAATGTTAAATTACCGAGGAGCACTGTGAATATTTCCTTCCCCACCTCCTCCTATAATGTTAATCCCGTTGAAATGCAGCTTTACTGTATCTAAACAGGAAACCTCCAGAGGGCATCTTTTAGGATCACATTGTCTGTTTTACACTGGTATGCCCATTTGTATACTGAGGCTCTAAAAAGATTGTAACTTTGGAAGATCCCCACCTGATTTGTCTAACTCAGAACGAGGACTGTGGATTTTATCACTTCAGGAAGGAATCTCTTTGCGGTCCCTGTGGAGCGGGGGAACAATCAGCCCATAACCCTTTCAAAGGGTTTGTGCGTATTATGTAAGCTCAAAATGATCTCACAGCATCAGTATTGTTGTGATGGTGATAACCTTGATATCAGATTTACACTGACGGTTAAACTGTTCACCAGAAACCAAAGCGACCTATTAAAAAGATACTGTACGTTTGAAGTTTCCCTGCACACCAGACTGCCAACATGAAATATGCATTTTCTATATCATGGTATAATCTTTGTTCCTGTGATGATGGTGCTCCTCACCTTCCATGGCATCAGTGAGGTAGCTGGCTGCACTGAGCGTCCTCCCCCTCCGCTCTGAGCCTTGTGTGGACGAAGGACGAGGTAACAGCATCGTGCTGAGCTCCGTGGTGGACGTGGGGACCTGAGACAGACAGAGACATTTATTAAGCAATCACTTTTAATTCAAACAGAATCGAGGCTCCTTAAAAACATACAGTAGTTATTGAAATACACACACACAGTCACGCAGACATACATGCTGTTAAACACAACAATATACATATTCAAGGTTCATTCATGAGCTTAAATCCACTTATCTGTTGCCCTGGTAATAAGAACAGCACACACACACCTACACACACACAGATTTAGATTCAGATTTATCAGGTCAAATGGGTCAAACATGGTGTCATGATTTCTTTGTGTGTGTGCATGCTTCTTATCACCAAGGCAACAGTTAAGCAGGTGATGACTGGTGTTCAATGAATCTAAGAAATCACTATGTGTGTGTGTGTTTGTGTGTTTAGCTCTGTCAGCCTCCCTAAAAGGACTGCTGGATATTTTTCAGGTATCAGATGAGCTGTATGAAGGTTGAACTTGTAAACAATCTGCTCAACTCTCTGAAAACTGACTTCAGTCGTCGCTTCTTAAACTAAAAGATTCAAATTCAGCTAAATGATCAACGGGCTGTCAGCGGTCACACACTGAAACCCTTTCCTATTGTCTTTAGCTTAGCGAACTAAGAACTACTGCGATCAAGAGGTCTCCTGGAAGCTTCACTATGGAGGTTTTCAGGATACATCCAACTAGGAGGAGACCCAGAACACACTGGAGGGATTTTAAGTCCCATCAGGTCTGGGAGCATCTCAGGATCCCCCAGTGGGAGCTGGAGGAACAACCTGGGGACATAGTTGTTTATTTCACCTGCTACCATCAACCAAGACCCGCATAAGTTACAGAAAAACTTTTGATGGTTGGGATGACTTATGCAAATGTATATATTAAGAAATGACATCTGAGTTAAATAAACCCAAGTTAATTATGTTACACAAGTAATACTTCACTTAAAAGACAAAGATGTATTTGTTAAACAAGGTCAATTCAGTATCTTCTCTGGTCTTCTGATTATTATCAAATGATCTTCATCAGCAGATGGATTTTGCCCAGCTGTCATATAATTGCATTGTGTTAAGTCAAAGAGCATTTTAAGGACTTTTTGTTCATACCATCCATGCTTAGAAATGTTTTAAATGCCTACTAGTTCCATAACAACTGGGCACACAGATTATGGAAGCATATAGGGGACTAAATTAATATTATCATGAGAACTTGAAAATGAAAATGTAATCCCACAATAACATTATCATTTTCCACATATGTATGTGTTATTTAGGTAAAAATTTAAATGAAAATGCAATCATTTTCATTGAATTTGGCGTTAGCATATTCTGCAGCTAATGTGGCTAACTGTAACGTCAAGCTGTTTCTGTTGTGTATTATGACATTAAGCCCACACAACGTCGCCTGTATGTGTGTCGGTTGCTGCAGTAGCCTATGTAAGTTTACCTGGTCGATGCATGGCACATGCAAAAAACATTAACTTGCTTATACCCGAAAGCATCAGTGTCAAGCCCAGGCTAATACAAACCCATTCTCATTCAGAGATATACTTCACATTACTGCAATACTAGTATTAGTGACAATACCGCAGCTCCGTCATAGTTAATGTTATAGGAACAGTCAGTCTGTCTGTCTGTCATGTCAGCTGTAACTATTACAGCTATGAACAGTGCAAAAGCGTCATCATAACTACACACTTGAGATGATATTGGACTAAGGTTAAACTTTAAGTGTTTCCTGCAGACAGGCCAGCAGAGGTGTTTCCTGCCAGGGTGACAGAAGACAACAGAGGACTCCTCCCTCCTCCTCAAGTACAGGTTTGTACTTAGCTGTAGAACTCATGTTAATACTGCTATTAACAATGTTTGTTTCCTTGTGTGTTTTTCTATAACATAAAGTAGAACATTATTTCCCACTTTTACCACAAGAGGGAGTATACTGTTTAGTGAGTCATTTTAGGAGCAGTCGCAACACTGAAAGGTTAGTACTTTGCTGTAATGTGAGTCTGAACAGACCATGTGCTGGTAACAATCTACCGATCTGCTTGCGTATGTTGCAGGTAAGCAGATATGACACATGTAAGAAATGATGTCTGCAATGCCTCTGCCATTGTTGCTGCAGCGGTCTGTGTGACGGCGGCAGCAGAGGGCTCTGTGAGCGGGTGGCTGGCTGGCCTCACACACTCCTCCCGCGGGTTGGCACAAGCTTCCCCCGCTGCCACTTGTGGAGCTCCTCAACTCCGAAAATATTCAAGCATGTTTTTTCTGCAGCTGCAGAATATGCTAACGCCAAATTCAACAGGCAAGTGTTCAAAAAAACTGAAAAGCTACATAGAAATGGCAACACTTACAAGTTTGAAGTCGGTATAGATCCATCCATGAGCTGTTGTGAAGTTACAGCCTAGTGTTGTGTGATGGTAAATACACAACTGAACCATGAGAACCTGAAGTGGCCTTCCAACTGAAGAGGAAGTGAAGTCTTAACTGAGGACCTGCCTTGATGAGAGGACCGACAGATTTTCTAGAATGCTCACACAAGTATGTGAAATTTTATTTTGTTATTTAAATAACACATACATATGTGGAAAATGATAATGTTATTTTGGGATTACATTTTCATTTTCAAGTTTGCATGATAATTTTAATTTAGTCCCCTCTATGCTTCCATACACAGATGCTGATGAAGATGTGTGTGTGTGATGTGAACGAAAGCTCCTAAAAAGCAAACAGGTCCTTTCATCAATGCTACTCATTAAATCATCACCACACTCATAAAACTCAACAAAATGCATAGTTTTGCGTGGCTACACTGTTCCCTTAAGTGGGAATATTCGAGATTTACATTTATCCAAAATATTTGGCCATTGTTTGAAACCCTCTGTATCTTGACTACACTTTGAATAAAGTCCTGTCGGTTTGGCACAGCATAAATGTACCGTATGAAGATGAACCCAGCAGTGTCTCAGGGGAGTTTAGGACCTCTCAGCCCTCACAGAGATGAACCTGGATGAACCTAATTTGCTCAGGTGTGATTACATAACACTTCCTGGTAAATGCTCTTCCAATGAGACGTGACGCATGTGCCTGAAGGTCGCCGCCCACGACAACGCCTACATCCTGTCTGTGTGCCAGGCAGGGAAGCTCCGGGGAAACACATAACAGCAGCCAGCCGTGCACTAATTTAGCTTCTGTTAGCGGCTGTGGGTTTCCATGGTAACTATGCGCGCGCTCCATCCCTCCCTCCTCCTCCTCCTCCTCCCACTCTCGTCTCTGCATCAGTCTGAGCAGCAGGACGACAGGTGCATGTTCTTCATGGACATGAGGAAGCAGAAATACTTCACGTTAAAACATGAAGCTATAACCTGAACTCAGAGCTGCTCTGAACTCCCACACAACACCCGCAGATTTATTATGAAGAAAACTTTAACTTCAAACTAAGCAGGAGTTTTCATTTACTTATCTGTGGGGATATCACAGGATCTTCACTGCTACGGGCCGTGCTAACGTTAGCTTGATTAGGCTGCTCTAAGTCTGCCTTTACTACTGGATACTACTGTAGGATCAACACATTCTCACTCCCGACTCGTCACATATTGACGCCTGGTCAAGGCCCTTTGGCGTCACCTTTTAACGCTCTGGCTACCCCTTTCGCGCCATTTTTAGACGTTTAGGGCTCCGTGGTCAAGTTAGCAACACTTAGCAACAACAAACATGCAATGTCCGGTAAAGTTAGCAACAATAAATATGCAATGTCTATTAAAGTTGTGAAATGTTGCAATTTGGTTAGGTTTAGGCACTAAACGTACTTGGTTAAGGTTAGGAAAAGATCATGGTTTTGGTTAAAATAAGTACGTACGTCAGTTAACACGTAAGTTAACGTAAGTTAAGTAACATCACTTTCGTCAATTTACGTAACTTGCCTAACTTAATAACTTGCCTAACTTAAAAATATTTAATGTTGACTTGTTTTTTTTTTTTTTTACACCCCTCTCCTGGTTCAAAGTCGTGGTTCAGGCATTGTTGTCCGAACTTTTCTGCATCTTATTTACTGAAGCTGTGTGAAACGTGAAGGAAGAAACGACTAACCGGGAAGCTGCTACTGCCAGTTTTGTATAAACACTGAACACTGCTCTCATAAATGCATGTGCTGAAAAAACAGGAGTTCAAAAGTCTGGAGAAACTTTATTTCAACTGGTGATGCTGTGTTTTGTACAAAAACATACTTCTTGCTGCTGTTATGAATATGCTACTAGTTAAAAAGTCATGAGAGACTGCTTTATTTTTTATTTTGTTAAATACTGCTGTAATATACCAACGTAACAAGTTAATATTTTATATGCAAGTTCTATATGTATTAGCACAGTTGCTCTGGAGGCCATTGAGAGTGGAAGTTCAGTTTTAACAAAATCAAAGATCCTCAGCAAAGAAACACTGAAAACCCATGACCTTCACATGTTTGACAGCCAGCCAGAATCAGGAGATCAGAGGTCAGATCAGATCAGATCCTAATAATACTTCATCAAAACAAAGAGGATTAAAATACTGCACCATAGCTGCTGAAATGATCCACAATTTCTCCAAAACCGAAAATGTTCTTGACTCAAATTTGACGATCTCCAATTAAGTTCTACAAATCTGAACCCTGACAACTGTTTGAGGTTTTAGTACAAATGGGACAGGAAACTACTTCTCATGTCAAAATTTATAATATATATATTATAAAAATATGGATCTTGAGGGCCAAAACTTAATAATTAGTTCTAACATTCAGTTTTCATTTTTCTTCGTCTTTTATTTAACTACCTATTCTTCTTATTCTTCTTCATCTCCTATTTGTCTACTTTTTCTTCTATTTATCTTCGTCTTCTTCTTCATCTTCTGCTTATATAACAGTGTAGGTATCGGGGCAGGTTGTCAGCAGGTGGAGGTGATGAACACCTCCAGGCATGGAGCTTCTGCCGTGTTTGTCCTCATGATGCTCTAACCTACCGTCTGAAGACAACTGTAAACAAGTATTAAAATAAATGTAATCCCTTATGGCATGGAGCTGTCTGGCTTTCAGTGACATGTTTTATAAGATTCTTTTATAAGATATAAGAAAACTGCCAGGACTAGGTGTCTGAAAGCTGCTGTTTCAAGTGACACTGTACTGACAACTCTCTCCACGACCATCTAAGACCAAATAATATAGTATGCATCTTCAGATCTACTTAATGATTGATGTCTCTGATTCTATATGTTCTTCTGTTATCTGTGGCTGTTCGTTTTCTTATCTGCTGTACTCAGGTCTCTCTTGATCTCAATGTGATTAGCTGATTAAATAAAGGTGGTGGTATATATATATATATATATATATATATATGTGTGTGATATAGATAAATATCTAGTAGAGTTCCATGAATGATCAGTGCTTTAATAAAAAGGAATAATCAAAACGATACAAGGTAATTCTGCTCAATAATAGAAATAGAAAATGTGTCTAAACCCATTTGGTGTTCATCTTTAGACTTCAGCTTTATGAATTTGACTCACTGTGACTTTATGAATCAATGGCCATTCTCCCTATGCTTTCTTGATCAATAATAATCATCTAGTGATCTGACTGGGGGCAATACAGCCAATTAGTTACATACTGCAGTTATCCAAGTGGCTAAAACTGTGGCCACTTGTGACGCTCTGTCAGGTTTAAATGGCTTCATGGCTACATTTAGCGCTTTTATGGGCTTTAGGTTTTTGCAGCTAATTTGCCCATTCACCCACAGACTGATGGCAGCGAGGTACATTGCTCCCCATGGCGAACCATGGGGAGCAATGTCAGCGTAAGGACACTTTATCATGCATTGCGACGTGAGGAGCTGAGGATCTACCTGAGCCACTGCCGCCAGGCTGATGCAGTTCACAGGCAAACATGAAAGCGCACAGAGCAGGGGATTTGAGAGAGGGCAAAGGTGTAAAATTGAACGAGAAAGATAATTGTTGTCCATAATAGCAGACATGCAAATGCATTTAAAGAGTGGAGAGTAGAGGTGTGTTTGCTCAAATTGAATCACTGATTAATAGTAATTTCTCTACAAAATATAACTTTTGTGCTTGCAAAAATAATTCCATAGAGAGCAGAAACATGACATTCAGCGACTAACTGAATCTTCATGAATGGTATGTCCGAGATGAAACCTAATGTAGGATTAGCAGAACCACTTTTGGAGAATATCAGGCCCTAGAAGCTACCAAGAAGAATGTTGCTGTTTGAGAGTGTTTCACTGTGAGAAACCATAAACCCCTAAGAGGAAATGTAGAACACACACAAACACAGGTTTTCTCTCTGTTGCTGTGTTTGAGTCATGCGGCGTGAGTGTGATCCGATTAGCATCTCTGCTGCTTGTTTCTAAAAGGACATAATGCAAGATGTGTGTATGCGTGCGTTTCCAGGCACACAGATGATTTACTGGATGTTAACAGCCTCAGTGCAAAATACTGAAAAAATATAAAATATGTACAGTGTGAGTGAGAGTCTAAGTGGAGGGGTTTTTTTCAGCAAAAGTGTCCATTAGCAACATCTACCTTTAGCCTGGTATTGGTAAAATGCGTGTTTATGTGTTTTGCTGCACTGAACCTCAGTGTGATGCAGATTTCAAGCTGTAAAGTGCCAATACTGTCAGATTGATCTGTTGATGCGGATATTGATATGGCTAATGATTGTATGTGTTCTTGTGGCTGATCAATAGGGCGTTCTGACTCACTGGATGAAGCTGTTGATGTAACTGGATTTGTTTTATTGTGAGTATTTGGTGGTGACTTTTATGACTGCCATATAATTTTGTGTAATTACCTTGAACGAAGAAAATAGTTACCGGTTCCTCCTGGCTCTTAAATGTAGGTACAATAGAAGAAAATAAGACTATGGGGAATATGGAGTAAAAACAGGGCATTTTAGAAAAAGGGAAAACAAATGTAATGTTTATTGACGCCATATGTGACCAGACAGAGTACCCCCATTTTTTGGGGCTTCCAATAGTAAAACTACATGTTTAAATGCTCCTTTCTGTAAATACATCAAAAGACTACAGAGCAGCCCCAGATCCACTAAAGCAGCTTCAAGTGTCAAACGTAAAGTTTTATTTTACAAAGCTTATTTTGCTCAGACTGCCTTTTCTGTGAACAGAGAAAAGTCTTGCAACTTGCTACCTAAACACTTGAAAACTGCTGCGAACTTTACTACCTTTAGGAGAACCATCAAGTCCTGGTTGGTTCAGCAACAAACTCGTCCTCACGTCTTCTGTAGTTCCTGTTACACGTGTTTTATTGTATCCTAATATCCTCATTTACCTCCTTTAATCTTGTGTTCTACTGTAACTTATTGTACTTTTCATTTTCTCTTTCCCTCACTGTTTTAATATTTTATTTCTTTAAAAGCCCCTCTATGGTTATGTTTAGGGGCATGTTTGCCTTGATTGACAGGGCTCTCAGCGTATCAAACTCAGCCATGGTGCTTATCACTTTCGTCCAACCTCAGCTCCACCCAGACCCTTTACACAAATTTGGAGATTCTGACACAAGTAATTAACAGAAACTTCCAAGTTTTCAGAACATCACTGGTCCAACCTGTGACAGATCAAACAAATCTTAACTCCATGTTTTAAATATAAATGAATCCATGAAAACTAGTTATTAAATGGATCAGCTGACTTTGAAGAACCTGCAGCTACTGAAATCAAAAATATATCAGCGATGGTGCATATGGAAATTTAGTGAATTTGTGAAAAAAATGTCAAGATGTGTGTAGCTTTTTGTAAAACATCTGACACCAGCAGCAGTATTGGTTGTTTCCTAGCCTTGTGTGTGTGTGTGTTGTGTTTGAGTATGTGCGTAAAGGAAGGACACCTCAGTACCGTGGCTGTGCTGGTATGTCTGGCTTTAGCTTCTGATGCCATAGCAGTGACACTATGTGTGCTTGCGTGTGCGTGTGCGTGTGCGTGTGCAGATGGGGGGAATACCACAGCTTTGTTATCCGATATGGTACATGAGAGTGTGTGTTTGTGTCTTTAGCCCATGATATCAGAGTGGAGTTATGCAAAGAGCTGATTCATAATTCACATGTCTGAGTGTTGGATGGCTGCAGGCTCCACCATTGTTTCCACTGCGACGGACACACACACATCCACCCAGGACACGGTACTCACACTCTCCTCCTTGACCTTCTCCATGGTGCAGGCAGGCAGCTGCCCCTGCAGCGGTGGTGGGGAAACCCCGTTCTGGTCCATGGCAACAAACAGCTTCCCGTTGACATTTAGAGTTGGATAAAATACCTTAAAACACACACACACACACACACACACACACACACAGATTAAATAAAAATGTGTATGGAGACCTTTTATGAACACCACAGCAATTTAGCATTTTTAATTTTCTTAATTCATATATTTAGTTATATTTAATATGTTTTGGTTGTTTGGCTGCATCTTCACACTATATTATTCCTCTCACCTCATTACATCTCAAAATGTCTAATGTCGTTCCCTTCTATAAAACAGTATCCAACCCGACTGAATCTAATCTGGTCTAATGTATGCCATTTTATCTCGTTTCAACTATGCCCATTTCCATCCATCCTTTTTTATACCTGCTTGTCCGCGCAGGGTCGTTTATTTAAATTTTTTAACCATGCCGTGTTATCTGATCTCATCTCTTTTGACAACATGTAGTTATTCCATTTTATCAAATCATCCAGCTCATCTCTTTTCAGCTAATCTCATCTCATGCCATTTAATCTAATTTCACCTAATCCCATCGAAAATCATCTAAATCCCCGCCGTGTTGATTAATCTCATCTCATTTAACAAAGTTTGGTCTCAAATCATTCTCCTTCAATCAAAAAAAGGATTTTGTTTGATTTTATCTCATCCACAAATCTCATCTCATCTAACAAATTTTAATCTCATGCCATTTAGCCGCATCTAATCTAAACTAGTCAATTTCATTTGAGAAAAATCTGATTTCATTCCATGTTAAACTCATTTTCTAATATAACATCTGAGACAAAGTCTAATCTTGTGTCAATATATCTAATGTCCCATCATTCTCATCTTTAATTCTATATTATTTTATTTTATGTGATTTAATCTGATTTGATTTCAATGCATTTCTTTGAATCTTTATCACAATCCCAGAAGATAGAATCACAATAGTCTCATCTACCAAAGTCTAATCAATTCAATTCAAATCAGCTTTATTGGCATTAATGTATAACAACAATATTGCCAAAGCTACATATAAATTACATAAGAACAATTAATTTCATACATTTTATTAAATAAGTAAATAAAACAGTAAAAGTTTGGTTTGTGTGTTAATAAAAAATAAAATAATAATAATAATAAAAAATAGACATAATATAAAATTCTGTAAAAATATAAATATTAAAAATAAAAGTAAATAAATGAAACAGTAACATGTGTGTGTGTTATAATGTTGTAATAATATATTAAAATGTGTGTATGTATATTAATAGACATAAACATGCTTTTATTAATTAATAAAAAAATAATGAAAACAACTAAAACAATCAGTATGTAATCTAATGTCTTTCTCATTTAACCGTACAACCTACAGTATTTCATATTTTTTAATCTCATCCAACAAAGTCTAAAATTCTGATCTAATTTTATCGGATCTCATGCTCAACTAATCTCATTTGACAAAGACTAATCTCATGCCACTTTGTCTCTTCTCATCTCATTTAAGAAAGTTTAAAACTATTGTATGGCTTGTTGTGTGACTGCAGTGTCTCATCTCACTTTACCACACATCTCAATTTATCTAATTTAAAAATGTCTAGTATCCATGTGCTTTCATCCTCAACTTGTTTAGCGTCATCTAGCATAATTTAAATTTTGTGCCATTTTATCTGATCTAATCTAAACTAGTTACATTTTATTTCACCTAAACTGATATTACCTAAACAATCTAGTCTGATCTCATATTAAACAAAGTCTAATTCAAACCATGTTATATAATCTCATGCCATCTCATCTAATCTCATCCAGAGTTTAATGCAATGTCATTTTATCTAATATAATTTAATATTATCGTATTTCTTTTCAACAAATACCATTTCTTTAACAAAATGTAACCTCATTCTCATTTGTATGATCACACCTAACAAAAGTGTAATGCCGTACTATTTATTTGTATCTAATCTCAAGTAACAGTCCAATTAAAGTCGCATTAAATTCATTCACTATTTCCATTTTGATTTAGATAAAGTATTATACACATTTCATCTCATAAAATATCATTACCTCTGATTTATCTAATAAAAGAGACTAAAATTGTGTTTAATTTCTTCTCAAAGTATCTCATCTTTTTGCATCACATCTTATTTAACAAAGTCTAATCCCAGTTTAATCACCTGGGAGTTCCTGCTGGCAGTGCTGTAGGTGCTTGGTCGTCGTTTGGGCCAAGGATGGGGCAGGATGCCACTGAAGGTCCCACCACTGTAGGTCCGACCCCCGACGCCTTCCACCACATCACCTGGGACGCTGTACTCGTCGTCAGCCATCTCACCCTCCGACCCTCGACTCTTCAGACGGAAGTTGAAGATGGAAGAGACCTGACTGCTTCGCCGAGTCCTCGTGGAGAAGGAGCGAGCAAGGAGGGGGTGCAGGGGCTGGAAGAGAACGTAGGCAGTCGTGTTTTGTCTTGGGAAATGTTACTTTCCCAAAACAAAAGGACACAAATCAAGATTCTTCTTCACTTACCCTTCCCCCGTCCGGTATTTCCACCTGCAGCAGCTTTTCCTCTGATAAATTCGCCTCCACATCGACCACTCCCATCAGTGCTTGACTCCGCCTCCGCTCCTCCATGCTGTCCAACGGCAGACCAAACGGGGATAATTCTGGTGACATCATCGAGTCCGAGTCAAGAACTTTCTGGGCGGCAACCTTGTGGAAAAGATAAAGTGTGTGTGTATCTTTAAAGGTAGTCAGATAAAAACGCAACAAACTCTTTAAATATCCAGTAAACAAAATGGAGTGAATAAGTAAAAGGGAAAAGTAATTAACAGATTTACAACTGATAAGATTGATAAATATTTATATATTAATACATATTCATTGATAAATAAGAATGAGGAACAACAGAAGGTAAGACAGAAGGTAGGTGAATACTGTTTTTTAGATTGCTTGAACCCTGATGAGCGGCCTTGATGGTTTCTTAAAAGTCCCTTTTCATTTGTCTTTTGCTGCTTTTTTTTTTTTTTACACTGTAACATGGCAGATGGTATGGATGAAGTGAAGCAATGTAATATTAAGATTTTATATATTTTATGTAATATTTTATCCCAACTTATTTCATGTTTATGCAACAGTTCCCACATACTACAATGATGTTTAAAAACCTTCCATATCGAGTGGAGTTGGCTGGTGGATGGCTCGAGGGCTAAAAGTTAAAAACACTATCTACTTTAAAGCCATAGTAATCCCATGATAATTAAACAAAAGCTGTATATTAAACCCAACAAATTATAGTTATACCCTGCTGTAAGACACTCATTTCATTCCAAAATTGAACAGCAGACCATCATTAAATCCAGGTGAGAAGCAGGGTAGGGAGCTCAAGTTAGTTCCGTGACTTTACCTGTTGCTCCTTCTTGAGCATCTCCATGGCCACCTGAAACTCTCGCTCTTTCTGGCAGGCCTCAGCGATGGTCGCCTGGTTCTGCTCCTCGTACGCCATCGCGACCACGGCCAGGATGAGGTTGACCAGGTAGAAGGAGCCCAGGAAGATCACCACCACGAAAAACACCATGTAGGTCTTACCTGCCGAACGCAGCGTCTACAAGCACACAACACACCAAAAAGAATTCAAAGGGTCATGTTCCCTCACTTGTCAAACCCATCCCCTTTACTTTTACTTTTTCAGTTTGATTTACGTATTGAAAAGTCTAAACAATGTCCTCTTTCTATCCAGCTACCAAGAGCAATAAGCTTTGGGGACAGCGGCAAGTGTTCTGTGGACTTTTTTTGGCCCACGGTTTGAATTCATAGTTAGATTTGCAGTAATTATCATCATAAAAAAAACAATCAAGAAAAAGAACAATTTTCTTTTGTGTAAAGAGTTACTTACAACATTATCTATCAATTAACCGACTTTAATGTTGAGATGTCAAAATTGGAAACAGGAGTTGAGAAAACAATCGCACTACCAAATCCATTTAATAGCTGTTTTGATTGTATCACATGATCTTCATTAGCGGATGAAGATTACCCAGCTGTCATGGAATTGTAGATTTCAAAGATCCAGAACAGGTACAAAGTGGACCCTGTGATGAGCTGGTTTTAAGCCAATATTATTGAGAAACTATTGAAGTACTAAATTTGCACATAAACATTTGATGAAGAGCACGTGTTACAACCGAAATCTCCAACATTTGTAATGAGATCAGCTTCTGTAAATGGCAATTTAAGTCGCTGTTTTCTGTTCATTTACCATAATCATGGAAAGCACGATAACCTATCTCGTGGTGTTGACATTTAAGAGACTGTCTTTTGGTTGCCAAACCTTTGTTTTATGAAACCAAACCAACGTTACCTGGTGGTAGAGATTTTCCCAGTAATCTTGTGTCATCAGGCGAAACAAGGACAGAAAAGCCCACCCAAAGGTGTCGAAGCTGGTGTAGCCGTAGTTGGGGTTCCTTCCCGTCTTCAGACAGTCAAACCCATCTGGGCACTTTCTGCAGCACAAACACACACACATACACCAGGCCTTGAGTGACTATCAGTATGTGCTGTGAACCGTTTGACAAGCTGTCAATATTTTTATTGTGTCTCCAATAAAACTTTTAGAACTGAAGGCCAGTGAATTTTGAGAATATGGTTTTAAGGATTTGGAAGATGCCAACCAGCCAGTAACCAGGAGGTGGGTGGTTATATAACTATAAACAGACCTACTGTTTCTCTTAAATCTGTGATTTGAAAAATCTAACACCACATGTTTGTACAGAAAGTGGGTGTAGGAACATTTTGAAAGCTGAGACATTTCAATCATAAATTTCAAAACTGCATCTATCTGTCTATCCATCTGTTTTTCCATCCATCCATCCATCCATCTATTCCTGACACAAACAACAGCTCTGTTTCCTCATCAGTGTTTATGACTGAAGGCTTGTTATCGCCGTGCGACCGGGACCCGCCCACACGTGTCACCGCGGAGACGGAACAGATAACACGGGGACGGCATTCATCATAATTGATATTCCACATTCATATCCTATCACATTCATCGCCGCCCGCGCAGTCACATCTGATCCGTTGATAACACAGCAGTCCCATCGGGGGCACGCTGGTCAGTGGAGGGAGGGCTGCTACAGTTTACAGCTGAGATGATGAGCTGCTGCTTCTGCCCACAGCAGCTTACACTGACAGACAGACTGGAACCAGCTTCATCTAACATTATTAGAAGATAAGAGCAACAGGAGGTCAAAGGTCTGACGCTACCTGAAAATATTCCTTTCACCTTATTCTACAGGTGCTTTTCCAAAGATTTGAATATCTATGGAGTAGTTCATTTTAAGCACCAGAACCAGACTGAGAGATTAAAGGCTCAGGAATGCTTTGCAGTTGAGTTAATTAGAGCTCTGCTTTGGTTGACATTGCTGTTTTATAAATTCTTTATTCTAAAATTTAATTACATTTTGAGATAAATAAGTTTTGATTTCCGTGAGCTGTGAGCTCCAATCATGAAGTTTCAAACAAAAACGGGCTTCAAATATTTCACCTTGTGTATAATGGAATACTAGAATATAGGAAAGTTTCACTTCTTGAATTAAATTACAGAAGGAAATTAACTTTTTATCATGATATTCAAATCTTTTGAGATGCACATGTAAACTCAGAACATCATACACAGATTCTGATAACTTACAATTCAGTTTTGGGCCAATGCCATTCAGTATGTGGTCCTAATTCTTATATCTGATTTGTGGCAATGTGACCTGGGTCTGAATCATAGACCATGTAAATCATGGACCTAGTGTCCGTGACTTCACCCATAGGTTTCTGAAGAGCAATTGTGAAGCTCAGTGTGGCGGCCCAACTCTGCCCAACTTCTGGCAAATCCATAAATAGGCAAAGAGGTGGAGCACGCGTGGAGCTACCAGACAGCTAGCGGCGATTGCAACCAGCCAACTGTGATGGCACCCACATGTCATTCAAAAGGGATAAGTATTGGCTAAATTAAATCCGATCAAAATCCAAACTTTTCCTCAGCACTGCTCTCCGTAACGACGGCCGGACTCTGACTGCGAGCATTTCATTCCATATTAGTGAAAATGAGTGTGTGAATGGCAAAATCCACAGATTCGCTGAACTCCGATGTTAACAAATCTGTTTTCTCTCTCTCTCTCTTATTGGCAAAGAGCAGTGTTCAAAACATTAAGCTGGTGGCTTCTTATTTTTAGCCGGCGCTGACTGTCGCTTTCACCAGTCAAAATGACAAACATCGCTGGCGGTGGGTCATATCAGCTGTCACTAATTAATGTTAATTCCATGAGTAACGTGATGGCTTGCTCTCTGCAAGCCTGTCTGTACCTCTGCCAAAGATTGTTTATGAGGTAAAAGAAGTACCACTCTGTAACACCACTGCACAACTTCAGGTGGACAGAAGGTTTCTGTAGTCCCAAGTCTTCCCTTCTGATCGTATCATAAAGTTTTTGGGGAGTTTTTTGTTATCGAAGGGGGAAGTCTAAAGATAGAGGGTGCTGTATACTGTAGAGATTGTAAATTTGTGATATTGGGCATTAAAACAAAAAAATTACTTGACTTGACTGAAGGCAACAGTTGTTTGAGTGTATCAGATCCATATTTAACCAACATTTAGGTAAATAAAAGTCAGACTCTGTATTGGCAGATACTCGATCAGAACATCCATAGTTCTTTCTGTTATTTGCTTCTCCTCTCTGAATATGTTTGCAAAGTTGATTCATAAAGACTCAGGATAAGTACAAATTATTCCCTCGAGTTGGAAACATTTTCAACTCACACTCAATGTACAACATCTGTAGCGCTGTTTGCAGTAAAAAAAAAGTAAAGAATGTTAACTTTCCCATAATAGCTGCTACCAAAGAACTGTAAAAGTGTAAGAAGTGTAGTTTTGTTATGAGTTAAAGATTATAAAACTATAGCCTTAGAGTGAGTGGAGGAGTTGTGTGCAGTGGAGGATGACATTAACAGAATCACAAACACCACAGCATGAACAAACCTCTGGTTGAACAAAGCTCTGAGTCACACAGGAGTTTCATACTGAGTCACAGAAAAGGTTGCCGCTGTGCAGACGCTACCTGGGGATTCAAACCGACAACCCTGCGGTCTCAAGCCCACTGCGCTGACCCGTCCAGGCTGGCACCACCCCCGCCGGGACCGTCGCAACAGCTGGGATGCTTTTAAGCAGCGGCTCACACTGACTCATCACCAGCCAACCTGTATTCATTATCACCTTACTACACAGCATTCGATGGGAGCTGGTAATGGCAATTCATTAAGTACACGTGGAAATAAACTATCCAGTTATATAAGGTTTACATAATGCAGCTGTGTGAAGGGAAAACATCTGAGGGGAAAATCAGTTACATTCATACTTAACTTCAATATAAATACTATATATACACTACTATATTAAATACTTCATAATAATCCTGGGTTGGGTATAGTATGGGAACAGTTGATACTGGCAAATATTGCGCACTTGTACGTTATTAATCATAATAGTGATTGTTATAATTATATATTGATTGTATTAAGTTGTACATAAAAGTTACTGCAATGAAGTAAAAAGCTGCAGTTAAAGGTTATGGTAAAATAAGTAAATAACGAGCAAATACGTAAGGCATTAACATTTGATGCATTATTCTTTAACAAATTAACTCTTATTTTTGGTTTCTTAAAACAAACACTAGACCATGTTAATAAATATTTACAGACTTACGGTCATCTTATTGCACTGAAAACATAATTACCATGGAGTGGCTGAGGTAGTTTTTCAGTTAGAAAATGCATTTACAATGTCTGCAACAGATGCCAGCCCACTTTCAAAAAGCTTTTACCGAGCACTGTGGTAAAAGCAGCTAATTTTACAATTATTTTCATAAATAAAAAACAATTTATTCCCACTGCTTGTTGTTATTACTTTAATTATGCATGTTGCAACCAACATCCTGCACTTGCATTAATGCATTACATTGTCATATGTGCTTAGAATCTCCCTTTTATATATTTTCTACTTTTTACAAATGTTCCATGTTAATTTTACTTTGTGTAAAGAGCAGCTTTGGCAGAAACATATACTTCAGAAGTGCCATCTTATCTGTTAGCCAAAAGCAAAAGCCTTATTAGCTTTTGTGTAAAAGCAGCAATGACTATGAATCTGCTATCACAAAGCTCAGAAGTTAACTTGTGAGGCATTCAACTAGAACAGTCAACGTCAAACCATTTAAAACTCCAACTAACTTGAACTTGCATGATGAATCAGTGAAAAAATATGTTCCTAACTTGTGTCATTGCAAAAGCAATCATTGTCAAGCTGCACCATTACACAGTAGGTGATGCAAATGTGATGGCAACATGCTAGGTAGCATTACCGTACTTTAGCTGGTCATACGCAGTAACTACTCTGGTAAAAGCACAGCCATACAGCAATAAACAATCAATAATTTAAAATATAAAAGCTGAGTAACTGCTTACACAAACATTACAGTAACAACAATCAATTAAAATGCAATAAAACGTTCCAAATCACTGCACTGCTCATACACACATTACAGTAACAAACCAGACAAAGAAAAACAACTTGAGTACAAACTGCTGATCCAAGCATTACAGTAACAACAACATCAACAACAGCAAACAATTTTAGATACAAAATATTTCAAACAGAACACTATGGTACCAGCAATCAGTGTTAACATGGTTTAAAACTGTATCCGGAAGCTGATTTAAGCTTTACGGTACATATATGTGAATCTGAGAACAAAATGAAATGGAGCTGCTCATACAAACATTACAGTAACAACAATCGATGCTGAAAATATTACAGTAACCTGCAGCTGACACAAATCTGAGCCGCTGATTTTACAAACATCACAGTTTAAATTGAGATGCAAGTGTAGGAAAAAATTAAACACAACACTATGGTGAGGAGAGTTACACTGATAACACCGGGGATGAAGTCATCACACACACACACACACACACACACACAGGGAACATGACTAACTAGTCTCCATGTAAAGCCAGTCATCTTGATGCCAGTTAGACTGACACCAACCCTGGGCAAGGCCACCGCGTCTCTCACACACACACACACACACACACACACAGAATTAGATGTGTGTGTGCGTGTGTGTGTGTGTGTGTGTGTGTCATTCGTCCACTTCTATCCACCCATCTCGTGGCAAGTGAATCAACATGGTGGCATGTGAGTGGGGGTGAGTGGATGTGAAGTGTGTATGATGGGTTGACTGAGTGTGTGTGTTTGTGTGTTTAAGGGGCTTGACGATGTAAAAAGAGTGCGTGAGAGGTTTGGAAAAAGCAGACACAAGGCTGAGTGTAGTGTATAGTGTGTGTGTGTGTGTGTGTGTGTGTGTGAGGTGTCTGAGTGTGAGAGCCGCCAGTTATCTCTCACACACACCTCTGTCTGTGTTAATGGAGGGACGCCACTTCAGACCCCCCACTCTCACTA